CAATGGTGTGCCTACAATCCAGCTACTTAGGAGGCTGAGGCAGGAGGATCACATAAGACCAGGAGTTCAAGAGCAGGCTGGGGGGCCGGGGAGATGGCTCAGTGGAATAAGCTCTTCCCTGGCAAGCACAAGGACCTGAGTTCAATCCCCGGTTCCGCAAAAAAAAAAAAAAAAAAAAAAAAAAAGAGCAGGCTGGGTACAGTTAGACCCTTTCTCAAAGCAAAAGAGGCTGGCATAGTGGTGCATGCATGTAATTCCAACACTCAGGACAGGATCACTGTCCTGAGAATTTTGAGGCTGGTCTAAGCTACGTAGTGGGATCCTCTCTCAAAACAAACAGCAACAAAACAAACCCCTCAAAACGAATTTTACAAATCACAAAGCAGCATCAAAAATACAATCTGCGTGACCCCCCCCCCCCCGCAAAAGAAAAATACAATCCCATGAGGCTAGGTTAAAGGCCTACCTAACATACATGGGGTCCTGGGTTCAGTCCAAGCAACGCCCCCACCCCTCCCCAGGCTAAGCCAACGTAATAAAAATGTAGGGACACAAGATCAGGTAGAAGGGCACACACGTGCTAATGGTAGGGAAAGCAAGCTCTAGAGAACAGTAGCTCCAAGCTGGCGCCCCCTCCACAGCTGCCCACACACTGCAGAGCAGGGAGGGCAGCAGAGAAGGTGACCCAATTTGGGGCATGTGGTGGAGCTCCCTAACCCTCCTGGTGCCACCCTCACAGCTGCACGCGTCTCTGCCCCGATACCAGATTCCAGACAATCTTAGAGCCAGGACCAGGCTCATAGACACTTGAATGGGAAGAAAGAGGGGTGCAGAGAGTGAGACACTACGGGGTAGGCAGCGGAGCAGAGCTGGGCCCTGTGGACCTTCTGCATCCAGATCGTGCCTTACCCTGTGGTAATTTATAGGGGAAGTTCCTGCTTCCTGCTTCCATATAATTACAGACCGAAATTTTGCTGGTCACAGGATTTACTTTATAATCTACTGCATTGTTTTTACCTATCACAGCTGAGATTCTGCTTCACCTCCAGGATAAACTAAGAATATGGTAAAGAAAAAATGAGGGGGGGGGTGCAGGGAGATGGCTCAGTAGAGTAAGTGCTTGCCTGGCAAGTGCAATGTCCTGAATTCAATCCCTGGTACCTCAAAAAAAAAAGAAAAAAAAAAAAAAAAGAAAAGAAAAGAAAAAAAAGAGGGGTCCAGAGACAGTCCCACATATCTGCACTCAAATCCCAGCTCCTCAGCCCTGGGCACGCTACCACCTTTTCTGAAAAAAATTAGGACAGCTAGCTCTCAAGTTTGAAATGAAACATACAATGTATGTAAACTGCAAAACCAGTCTCTGCATGCAGCAAGTAGTCAATAAACATTACTCTGGTAAAAGGCTATATATGGGTGACAACTGTGCTGTCAATGTTTTCAAATTCAAATCAAATCAGATATTTTTTAAGCCAGGAAAGAATCACAAGGAATCCCTGGTTTGTTCTAAAGAGGGTCACAGATAGTGCCTGCATAAATATTTACTTTCGAAAAAATTATAATTGTAATTTATAACTCATTATATTATAATTATATTATTATTATATTCAGAGCATATCAAAATTTTAGAAAATTATACCAGATAGTTTATATCAAGAGGAAACATTTTAGAGGATTTTATCTAATCAACTGTGGAAAACACTAGATTTAGGAATAGCTGGGTGTGGTAGCACGCTCCTGTGAACCCCACACTCAGGAAACTGAGCCAGGAGGACTGACATGAACTCAAGGCCAGCCTAAATATTAAGAGTAGAAAAATGGAATCAATGCAAATAATTTTGCCCTAAAGTACTATAGTAGGGCCGGAGAGATGGCTCAGTGGAATAAGCACTTCCCTGGCAAGCGCAAGGGCCTGAGTTCAATCCCTGGTTCTGCAAAAAATAAATAAATAAATAAAGTACTATAGTAAGGAACTTAAAACGCTGACTCAAAAACTAAGTAATTAATTAGTAAAAAGGTCTAAGTTCGGGGCTGGTGAGATGGCTCAGTGGTCTAAAGCACCTACTTAGAACAACTTAGCAAAAAGCTCAAGGATGGCAGTTCAATCCCCAGCACCACATGCCAGCCAGCCCCGCCCCCTGGTGGGCTGAGCTGGCTGCCGGAGCTCCCCCTCACACACACACAGAAAAATAAATAAAA